CTTCTACCACCATGGGCACAATGCCGAGAGCGTAGCTGAATATAACTATAAAATTCGTGATGATAGTGTAAGTCCAAACCAACTATTTTATTATTCTGGTGAAGATTATTTAACAGGTCCCCCTACTCGTAATGAAATAGTTGCAGAAAATGATGACGGTTTAACAGCAATTCTTAAACAAGCTTTGGCTAAGCAAGAAGATATACCATTCATGCCGGTTGATATTGAAGAATCCAATGAATATATAAACAATATCCCTCATTACGTTTTACGTTTATATGGCTCTCTCGTTAATGGCCAGAAAGCAGTTGTAACAATAACCGGTATTAAAGTATTCTTTGATATCCGTATTCCTGATGATAAAACTATTGATGTATTTAAGACTGAAATAAAGGATACATTTAGAAATGGTAAAGATGATGAAGGAGAAACTGTAGACATAAGTAAAATTCGGATAGAGCACGTAAAAGCATTCCCTATTCGTGGTTACCATGCAGAAAAAAAGCCGTATCTTCGAATTTACACAACCACCACTTTTCAAAGAAAAATCGCTCTGAATATTATTATAAAATACAATTTAGAAATCGAAAATTCCGATGTTGATAAACACAAATTGGAAACCGCCTCAGATGACAAAAGCGCATATTATCGTAAAGTTGCTCGCGAATATAGAATTTCACTTTCTGGATGGGCTTTAATAAACAACTACGAGTATAATAATAGTAGATTACCCTACAAAGGACGTTTTCACATTTGTTCACATGCTTTCTATACATCTATTAATAATTTTAACACCGTGGAAGATCCTTCGAAATTATATAAAACTTACCCTTCTTCAGCCATTCTTCATGATCGGACATTAGTTCTTACATGGGATATAGAAACATATACAACACGTGGATTAGAGCATGTACCTAAAGCGAAATATAAAGAAGATAGTATATTTATGATTTGTATGACTCTCCATTGGAAAGATGATCCGAAACCACTGAAACAGATTTGTCTTGTCGATGTAGAAATTGCACCAGATCCAAACTGGATCACAATTGTTTGTGGAAATCAGACGAATTTACTAAAGGCATTTGCATTATGTTGGCGGGGATTAGCTCCTGATATCGAACTTACATATAATGGTTCCCAGTATGACTGGCCATTTATAGTAGAAAAGGCTTCTCAATTACAAATTCTTGACTGGATGTTTACGCAAATGACAGGAAACCCACGCCAGAACACTAGTATTGATGGTATTCTTCGTTGGAATTATTATGGAGGAGTAGGTAATCCTTCCGATAAAGATTTCTTCCATGAAGAGCAATCATGGACCAGAAATTTTGGAAAAAAGAAAGATACAGATAATAATAAAAAAATCAAAAACCGGGAATGTGTCGAAATTAAAATCTCTTCAGAAAAAGAATTCAAATCCAGTTTCCTTAAAGTCCCAGGTTGTGTTCCAATTGACGTAATAGTATGCTATAAAAAACTCCATCCCCAATCTGAGAAAAATTCACTTGACTATTACTTAAAAAAATATGATCTCGGTAGTAAAATAGATATGCCGATAAAAGATATGAGAATTTATTATGAGAAAAGCAAGAAAATTACCACAACTGCAACCAGTAAAAATATACATAAGATTGCAAAGTATTGTATTGTTGACTCCATATCTTGTCAAAAACTCATGATTACTCGTAATGTAGTAAATGATTACAGAGAAGTGGCCTCTATAGCTTATGTATCTTTATTTGATTCACACTATTACGCTGGAGGTATGAAGGTATGTAACCTCTTAGGTGCTGAAGCATGGAAAAGAGATATATTGATTACTATGATTGCTTCTAAACAAACGGAATCTGGAAAATTTCCCGGAGTTTATGTATTTCCTCCAGAAAAAGGTCTGGAAAATAAACGCCCGGTTACAGGTCTGGATTTTGCTTCTTTATATCCAAGTATTATTATGAATTATAACCTCTCACCGGATAAAATGATTTCAACATCCGAAGAAGCCGATACACTAAAGAAAGAAAAGTCACTTCATAAAATTGAATTCCCTTTTAATAGCCGAACTTTACGTGCCTGGACGATAAGACACGAAAATAAATCCAATCAAAAAGGATTATACCCAGTAGTTTTAGAAAATTTACTCAATAAGCGAAATCAGATGAAGTCTCAATTAGAATTATTTGGTAAGAGAAAAGAGTATATGGAATTAGTAATTAGTAAAACGAAAGAGAAGAATTTATCGATAATGGATGCTATTAACCATGTTCTAAAAAATATTGAAGATAAAAAAGAACGTGCGTTCACACTCGAATATTTTAATCCTGAGGGTAGTTATGCCGATTTTGTGTCAGAATACAATTCTATTTGTTTCGATCACAGTTGCTTAGATTCAAAACAAAAAGCGGTAAAATTATACATGAATACCTTTTATGGTGAGATGGGTAATACCCTTTCCCCTTTCTTTAAACGTGAACTAGTTGGAGGAGTTACTTCGACTGGACAACACAATATTAAACTAGTTGCCGAGTTTGTGAATAGAAAAGGTTTCAAAACTAAATACGGGGATACAGATTCTTTATACCTCACTTGTCCAGATAAATTCTACAAGAAATGCGATCTCGATTACAATAACGGAAAAGGCACGATTTCGAAGTTAGAATATTGGACCGAAATGGTTAAGATTACTATGAATGTAATGAAAAAATTACGCGACGATGTAAATAGTTATCTTAGGTTAAAAACCAGGTCAACGTATCTTAAAATGGCCTATGAAGAAGTTCTATTTCCAGTCTGTTTCACTGGTAAGAAAAAATATTTCGGAATTCCTCATATTGAAAACCCCAACTTTAAACCCAAAAAACTATTTATTAAAGGAATAGATACTGTGAAACAAGGTCAATCTGAAATTTTTAAAATTATTGGCGAAAAAATTATGCGGAAAGCTATGGAGGTTGATAATGAGGTTTCCGTTCATAAAATCGTTGAAGATGTTATTAGAGAGGCTATCTCAGATCCGAAGCAATGGAAATATGAACAATTTATCAAAACTTATACATGGAAACCCAATGTACAAAATCAACCAGTTCAGCGTTTCATGAAACGGATGAATAAACTTTACAAAAATAAAATTCCTGATCCAGGCGAACGCTTCAACTATGTAGTAACCAAGGCTGATGCAGATTTCGATTTATCCGGTAAAAGGTTGCATCCAACTAAAGGAGACCTAATGGAATTTGTTGATGTAGTAAAAGAACTTGAAAAGGAGTTAGATTACTTATACTATTTCCGGGATGATATTGTTGGACTTTGCGCTCGATTTATCATGTATGATGATAGATACCAACCATCTTCTTCTGATAAAATTATGGAACTTGAAGATCCGGATGAAAAATATAAAAAAATTGACGATTATTCTCAGGATAAAGCTAAAAAATGGCTTGGAGAATATGTAAATGGATTGAATGGCGTCACTCCCAAAATGATAATTAGTCGTGGACCTGCATATAAACGTGCCTACAAGAATTCCATCAAAATTGCACGAGTTATATTAAATCAGGAGATAGGTGATTCATATGAAATATTTCATGGTAATTGGTTATCTTACGAATACTTTAAGGTAGATGATCCTGTAGAAATATTATGGGAAAGGTTTATAGAATATGCGAAATCATCTATACAAAATAAAAACTTTTTAGTAAGTGACGATATAAAAAAATCTATATGCTCTGGTTTTGTGAAACATTTGGATACGCTAATTAAAATCATTGAAAAATACGATACATTCTTTCATAAGCTAGTTTATCATATGCGATATAAAGAACACGCATCAGCTCCAGAAAAAATTGGTACACCTGAGACTATGAGAAAAAATGAAATGGTAACCGAGCAACCCATCCTACCATGCATATTAGAAGCTAATCGACTACTACTTGAAAGTTTTCTAAATACGTGGAATACGGGGATTGATTTGATATATGCAAACCACCATTCTCAATATTGTTAATACTTGATTATATTTTATATACATTAAAATTTTTAATTCCATGGTCAAGGTATCAGAGTATTATTTCTAAAGAAACTACTCATACGTTTTTTGATTATTCTCTAATTTCGTTTTTTAGCCTCAAACTCTTTAATTTTAGGTCCCGAAATCTTTCATCATACTCCTGCAATCTTTCTTTATACTCCCGCAATCTTTTATCATACTCTCTATCATCATTTTCTAACTCTTTAAACCTAGCATAAGGTTTGGCATTAACATCAATGAGTGCTATATTAACATCAGTGAGTGCTTTATTAATATCAACGATTGCTTCAATAATATCATGGTAACAATATTCTCCATTTCCATTTTCAAATTCAGCAATAACGGCATCAAATTTCAAGTCTAATTCTTTTTTAAAGGACTCGATACTCACTGGAGTCAATTGCTTTTTAAGCTCAGCGGTAACAGGTTTCAAGTTGAACTCGATACTCACTGGAGTCGATTGATTATTACTAAAGAAACTAATTATTCTATCTTGAGTCTGTTCTAATTTCGCAAATCTAGCATTGTTCTCTTTATTTTGTGAGTATACATCAAAATCTAGGTCTTCATTGTCATATTCTAATTCAACAATCCTAGCATGAAGTTTGGCATTAATATCAATGAGTGTTTTCTTTTCCTTTTTAAATTCAGCAATAATGGCATCAAATTTCAAGTTTAATTCTTTAAAGGATTCAATACTCACTGGAGTTGATTTCTTCTTACGTGTGACTATTATATATTTTTTTCTTGGAAACATTATTATATTTTTCTTTCTGGCGAGTAGTTAGTTAATACCTTATTCATAAATGTTTAATATGGTTATGATTAGTATAAATTCAATTTTAACCTAACACTAAGATACGCCTTTATTATAAGATAAAGAAAAAATTATTTATTTATACCATAATAGGATAAACTATCAAGTAAATCTTTTTAGCAGTTTATCTGAATTTTCGGGATCTTTACGTACTACCGAATCAAAAGATTTTTTATTTGCATTCAATATAGGTCGAATAAATTTAACCAATGCAACAATAATAATCAATAAAGTTATCATCAGCCATGGAATTTTTGGCGAACCTAAAACGTTTGCCATAGCAGGAATTGCTTCTATTCCTCCCACTGAAAGCTCGGAATTCGATTTATCCAAAGAGGAGTTGGAAATATTTCCACTGGGAACGTCTATCTTTTTTGCAACTTGCGGAGTTACATTTCCTTCAGGATTCATATTCCTCATTG